TTGTAGTCCGCCTATGTTGCAAACCCGGCTTTAGAGGCGGACCTGGGGGGAATCGAAGGGTGGGGGGGGGGCCCCCCCCCCTTGAAAGGCGGACCGAGACATAACCGGCCCAAACTCTTGCACTTGCACCGCTCGCCCCCTAATACTTGCTACGCAAGGGGGAACTCAGGTAGCTCACCGCTACCTTTCGAGACAAGACTTGCCAAGTACTCAAAGCAAATATTTATCAATGCAGGCTAGCAACATCGTATGGCGTTTGTGCCCTCCATGCTCTAGCGCATGCTCCCCTGGCATCACACCAACTGGTGGGAGCTCTACAAGTGCATATCCGTGCAAACACACATATATATATATATTACGCTATATATACATATGCAAATATATATATATATAATTGTATATATATATATGTGTGTGTATAGATAGATAGATTCATAAATTAATACATAAATATATATATATACATATATGATTATATGGTGTATCGACACAGTACCCGAATAATAACACAACTACAAATGATATCGAGTAACTATATACTCGGATCACACTTGCTGCTGGTAAGGCAAAACGTTACAATAAACAGCCGCTCCTGAAGGAGAAGGCAGTCCAGAAAGTCTGTAACCGCGGGGGCATGGGGCAGGCATGTTGCCTACATCCCCGAGACTCCACACTGAGCCAAAATTGCGAGAAAGGCAGAGATCATCAAAGATTCGGGGAGATCTTAAGGCATGTAGTGCAGTAACCTGCTATCAACTGTCAGCTGTGGTTGCTTGATGTTGTAATTCTTGTGCACTGGAACATCTTTTACATGTTGCGCACGTCTCTACCTCCATTGACTGCTCCAATATATTCCAATATTCTAGTTGAGGTCAAATTCTACTCTTCAGTTCACAGTCTGGTGGTAGTCAAACATCGGAGGGAGCGACTCCTTTTTCAACAAAATCGAAAGTCGTTTTTTGGAGAGCGGAGAACCCCCCCGCCCCCCGGCTAAGGACCTGCCAAACCCTTTCATCTTTTTCATATTCAAAATTCCTTGTCAGTAGCGGCTGGTGACACTTGGACCCTGGCCTTGCGAGAGTTGCCACCTTACTGTCATCATGACTACGATGATCATGGGCAGAACATGGCAAAATGACACCGCAAGCACCACTGCCAGAGCCCACCCACAACCTGCTTCCTCTGAGCACCACACGCTGCGATATTCACAGCATGGCTTCTAGCATGTTCTAGCTGCATTCTAGCTGAGCATGATGGTCTTGGTTTGTTGGATTACATATCTTGGTTCAGCTGAAGTTGAAGCTAAAAGTCCTTGAATAAGAGCTTCAGAAGCTTGTGAATACGTCACTTTGAAGTTGTCGGGTTTGAGCTGTTCCCCTGGCTTGAGACGGAGGAATTGCACCATGGGCTATCATCTATGTCAGGGCATGGAGGGCAAACTGAGGATGAATACAATAAAAACTAATAAGATTAGTTATATTTACATGGATATATATATACTGTATTGTTGTTATATATATATATGCGTGTGTGTGTGATATGTATAATTCGATATATTTCGATCTATGTATAAACTAGAATCAATCATCAAACGTCATTGCAAATCATGGAACTTTCAGAGGGGCGGCTTTGAAAGCTCGGTGCTGTCTCCTGCAACAAGTGGAGATGTGCGGCCCATTTCCGCTGCTCCTGGCATTTTGGATGCGATTTGAGAGCAACCTGTTGCCATGGAAAAACATGATGCAAGAAGGAAAACAGGAGGGAAAACAGGAGGTAACAAGTATGATCAAGTATGAAAAATTGAAGCTTACCTGTTGACACTGTTGACGGATGTTGAATGTGCAGATCTTCATCATTCTGGATCTATCTGGATCTGTATCATTCTGCATCTTTGAATCTTAGCTACTCAGCTCCTGCACCAAGGATTGCAATCGCTTTGTGATTCGCCCAAGGTGGCTCCACCCACCGAAGCAGCAGACATCCTTGCGGCTTTGTGGAGTTGGCCTATGATATGTGATGCCTGTTGCAGCGTTGCATGTGACAGGCTGCCAGGATGCTTCCAAACAGACTCATGCCGCTGCCTCAAACGTCCCAAAGCTCATCTTTGCAGCCCTTCCTGTGACGTCCTCACAAACGACAGCCATGGGTGGTTTAAGTAGCAAGCTGTTGCAAATTGTTGCCATGTTGAAGGTCAATGCTGTCAAGCAAGCGTTCCGACTCACCTAACAATGCAGAAATCTGGTTTTTCAGTAAGGCCATGTCAGGCCTCCAGAACATACTGCGGATTCCGCAACCAGTTCTCCATGCGACCGTGCAGCAGGAGTGCGATGACTGCCATCAGTTGCTAGAACATGTGTCACCGCATTTCTTGATATCAACAGAGGTGAACGTTTGTTTTGTACTGCACAATGACCTAGAGCGTGACAAAGCCGCAACAAGAGTGCAATGAAGTTTCCCTCTCTCTCTCTCTCTCTTAATTGTTCAACGCTTTCCATGGCCTTCTCCTTTGGCATCAGTGGTCCAAACGGGACCTCTGAGCTTGTCAACCAGCTCTGGCCTGGGCAATGCGCAATGAATTTTGGAAAGCTCCACCAGTGTCCCGTTCAAACAAAGAAATCAAATCATATCAAAACAAAAATCCTCAGCACGTGGCGGAAGGGCTGTTGCCCGGAAGGCCTCTGCAAATTCTTCATCTCAAGATTCTGGGAAAAGATTGGTGAGTGGCGAACACGTCAATGAATGATTCAAAGGTCACACATAGTGTGTCGTAAGGCAAAAGTAACTACAGTAATTATGTGGTCTCCTGTCGTCTCCTGTCGTCTCCTGTCGTCTCCTGTCGTCTCCTGTCGTCTCCTGTCGTCTCCTGTCGTCTACTGTCTGTGGATTCAAATGCACCAGTGCCTCCGCTGCTGTGAGAAAATTGTCCTAACGTCATTGGGTGAATACGTCATGCCACTAATGCACCGCCACCACATCCTAATAAGCTAATCTGAAAACATTGGGAATAGATGGGAATAACATGGAATAACACGAATCACCGTAGTCTTGCCATGTCTTGCCTGAGGCCATTGCTTCGATATCTTCGATTTGCTCAAATGTTGTGATGAGGAGAGTGTACCTCCAAGGAGCTGGAGGAGGCCGCCAGTGTCAGGTAGCACGAAAATCGGATCAGAAGAAACACTGACTATTAAATAACTATTACATTACTATATTAGTTAGTTGGGGAGGGATGGGAACCGAAGAGAACAAACAAAACACATATAAATAAATACACACAACAGAATGGTCAAGGGGGAAGAAATGAAAAGGATTGAAAAGGCACATAGAAAGGCAGGGCAAAGTGAGACTTGCCAAGGCACTCGATTGGCTGCGCCAAATGCCATACTAAGGCAGCCTCAGGCCGTGCATCGCTTTCAAATCGGCTAAGAATCTGAAGGTTTATGGACATGGACATGCTATCAAGTTGATTCAAGTTGTACCTTTTTTTCACACATTCGAACATGTCTGAGCCATTCTGAGCCTATGAGGGCCCATGAGGCTCCAGAATGCCGGTGGATCATGTCAGGGGCACCGGTCCAAGCCATCGGCGCCCGTATCTTTCGTTGCTGGGGCCACAGCGATGGCAACTGCACTGCAAGCCAGTGGCTTGGCCAGCTTGGCCAGCCAGCTGCTCATTGGCTCATGGCGCACCAAGTTCAACATATGATGGGCAAAGTCATTCTGTGCACATGAAAGATCTCAAAGAGTCCGGCAAGATCTAGCAAGCCTGTCTGATCCACGTGAGAGAAACAAATGCTAGATTTCTTGGAAGAATTACGATAGCAAAGCATCGTCTCAAGCCTTCTGACTGTGCCAGGAACGATGGTAATTGCATTCATGATCATTCATGTCAACGCGCCGTTCAGAATAAAACACGTGTCGAGCACTGGTGGCTTCCATGAAACTTCAAGCTACTTTCAGACTAGGATAACTAGGCCAGGCTGGTTGCATTTCATCGAGTTTTATGGACATGCCAGCATTGCACCGACTATATGAGGGCGGGCTCGAATGCTTCCCCTCCGTTTCGAGCATACGCGTAGCATGCACAGCTAGCGGGAAAACCAATCAGCAACCTCTAGGACAACGAACTGTGGTAGCTCATGTCAGCAGTGGTGCATGGGTTCTTCACACAGCAAAGGCTAGAACTAGAGCACATCATAAAATTCAAAAAACATAAGACATCATAACATCATAACATCATAAAACGATATAAAACGTCTTTCAAATCGTGAAATCTAATATGTCATCATAATCATCATATCTATAGTCTATGGGTCTATGGGCCACAAGAGCTTGAAGTTTTTTGCTTGGCTACCTTTAACCTTCAAAGCTGGCAGCAGTGACACCACTTTTGGCCGGAATCTGTCCAGGCCACAGCCATCCATTGCGCCTTTTCACAAGAACTTATTGCAGAATTGTAGATCATCCTCAGCCGGACAAATCGGACAAGGCCGAGTTCGTAAATGTCATAAATGTCCAAAATTGGCATTGAAAAGTACTCTGATTTGGCCATCAGCTTGGTGGTCCTTTTTCTCCATCCCCCATTAACACCCATTGACTATTGATCCCCATGTCTTCCACTTACAATGTTGCAAGGGTGAACATGACATGTTTTCAAAAATCATGCCCTCTACCGGTTCACCCCATGATCAAGGTATATCCATTATTAAGCCTTAATATATTATATATTATATTATGTTATACTCAAATCTTGGAGGCATTAACGTGCATTAACAATGATAATAATGATAGTGATCTGATAACTGATAACAATAGATCAATACATATACACGGCGATTATATCAATTATTCATCAAATAGCATACATTTCCGTATCCAAACATATTCAAACCATGCCTATACCGTATATCTGCATAGTCATCCATAGTCCAAAACGGTTTCCTCTCCCCCCCAAACGGCGAAACCCAAGCGTCTGGTCAAAGTGCAGCTTCACATCCTGGCACCAGCGCATCAGAGTCGAGGCATGGCGCCAACAGCCAACTTTCTCACAGGCGCTGATGGTGGCGCGACAACCTCCAGGACTCTAGGACTCCAGCTCTCACAGAATCCTTCAGTGACAAATGTGATGATTTATGTGACTTATGTATACTTATGTGACTTGTGGCTGGACGTATGGTATGACTTATGTGACATTTATTTAAATACAATTTATATACATTTATTTACTTATTTGCTGTAAGTACAACAATATATTAAAAACGTTTCGCCAAGAAACTCACTGGATCTGCCTTCAGAGACCAGGTCCCACTCCCTCGTAGAAAGGCCAAAGCATTGGACCACGCCGTCGCTGAGAAACTGAACGACTCCAACACAGCATTGAGACTGATAGAGTCAAGAAATCGAAGAACCTGTGCAAATGCGGCTATGTCCTATCTAAAGAAAACAGGACACAAGAAGAAAAAGAAGAAATGTGGAGTTTTCTTTCATGGAGCTTTAAGTTGATGGAACTGCCCATGCTCATGAAAAGTCTCCTGAAAAGTGATTCAGCTGTGTCCTCCAAATCACCAATGCTGCTGTGGTACTGCCATTTCTTCAAAAAGCTCGACTGCCTTCTCCCAAAAGGATGCGCTCGAACAAGCCACGATAGCACATGTGTATTTTTGCCTGTCTCTTACCTGCAGGTCATGTCATGCTACTGGCATGTTGGAGGACAGATCAGACATCGGCACACATCACCTTCCTATACTGTCTCAAGGGTTGATCCTATCAAATGATATCAAATCCGGTCTTTTCTGTCGCTCTGTAAATGTGGAGCATGAAAACAACCCCTAACAACCATCCTTAGCACTTGATGCAGAGCAGCTACATCAGTGGAGCAGGATGCAAGAATTGATCGGGGAAGCATTGCCAAAACACTCTTCCAGTGACAACATCTCTCCAAAGAACCTCAGGTGTGTGAATCATCCATGGTCTATACTAGTCGGCTCCAAAAAAGTCCAAACACGTTCAAGCAACATGATGATATGCTTTACGCGATGCGCCACCACAAAAAAGTCGCAGGCCTAGGGACTCATAACTTCAGTGCTACTTACAGCATCAGGATGGAGCCTTTTGAGGACTGCAGACTGAAGCAGGGCCAGAGCTACTCCCCAGTGTCCATGTTCTCCGCAGACTCCCAGTGCTGAGTTGGCTCCGATCAAATCCCGAGCATCGCTGGAAAAGAGACGCACGGCCCAGCGCCAGTTCTCCATGGATCTTATGACTTGGTTCACTGAAAGGCTGTCGGATTGGAGCGATGATGTAGGGAAGGCACACAACAGGTCCATCGCCAAACACCACTCACTGTGACCTCAAGCGGCTCCAATGATACCCAGCCGCCATGCCAAGAGCATCAAGAGCTCAATGATGCTCAACGATACTCAATATTCATGCAATATTCATGGCCAATGACAGTCAGAGCCTGAGGCCGAGACAAAGGGCAGACCCCAGGCCTGCTAAACCTCTGGCCAGAAGTAGGCTTCGACGCCAGTCTTGCACACCTGTCTTGCTGTGGCTAATGCACTCGTTGCTTTAAGTTTTGGCGACTTTTATATCGGCGACAAAGGCTCCAGCTGAGGATGCAATAATATGCAAGACCAACTGTGCAAACAAGGTGCTAGCTGCAGTATCAAAGCTGGGGAGGGAGGGTCTGATGCCCAGGTTTGCCATGGACTGAAGAAAGTGAATGGATACAAACCAGCTGGTTGGCTCATCTCCTCAGATCAGGACAGTACTATCAGTAATTGCTCAAGTCCCAAGTACCGAGGCCTTTCAACCTCGAACTGCGCATTTTTGGGTCACCCTTCCAGCCCAGGGGAGCAAATATGGCAGTCTCATCTCCAAGGCTCTAGTTGAAGCTATGCAGGAGTTCCAGGTGATCACATCTGCCAAGATCCCTCTCCGATACATCTGCAGCATCACACCTTGATCAACTTCCCGAACTGCACAAACATGCGCAGCCAAATCATATCATCTCATCTGCAACATCTAGAAGATTCTAGAAGCAACTTGAGAGCAGGCGGAGGCGGACGAAAGGTAGTGTAGTGGGAGAGGAGTGGTGTCAAAATGCTGCGCCCCTAAGATGATACACCAAAAACGTTTTTGCGCAGTCTAAGATGATTTTATCCAGAGCATGACTGCATGATACGGTGTCTTGTGCAGCGTGAAATGATGCACGAAAAGGGGTTTATTTAAAACCCCTTTTTAAGACCCCTTGCAGCAACTGTTATTGAGGCTGAAGCATACCAATTATGCTGGACTACAGGGACATCTCCCTCATGGAAAGTGTGCCTCTAATGTGGGGGCCCGTGACCGCGTCACCCGTGGGAATTGAACCCATGACCATTTTCGGGGGGGGGGGGCCCCCCCCCTTATAATTGATATCCAATACATAACGGCGAGAATTCCATGAATTCCGTGGGCTGGCCCCCCAATACCCCCTAAGCTTGTGCTGAAGCACGGAGAACTCAGGTAGCTGACGCTACCTTTCGTGATTACATCAAGTACACTGTGATACTCCAAGAAGTTGAATCGGTTTGAGGCCCAGCCGCCCAGCCTAATCCGGCCATCCAAAGTCCACCCTTCAAAGGAATTGCCGAGTTAAACGTGGCTTCTCCAGGCTGCATCCCATGGCTGAAGGCCAACCTGGCCAACAGCTGAAAGGCAGCCTGCCACATGTGGCCTGCCTCGGTGCAACATAGTACAACCGCAACAGCGGTGCGATATGTTCACGTTTGGTATCAGACAGCTTCATACTGCTTCAGAGACCACAACTGTGCGACAACCTGCAGTGGTTTCATTTCACTTCCCGGCCCGAACTGAAACCATTCGACAGTATTCGACAAGTGTCCGAGCTGGATTTCATAGAAGCACCAAGCACAACTGCGCTCGGAGATAGAAAGCGACCCCGCATGCCGGCCAGCACAGCTACCTGGGCACGATTTCATTGCACACCTTGCTCCAAGATGCTCCATGCTGATGCCACTGAAACTGCAACTTCAGCACAGTCATGTCATGTCTGTGTGTATCTGTGTGTGCATGGTCAATATCTTGCAGTTATCTGCAGCTAGTCTCACACCACTCAGTGCCCTGCTGCCCTTTGCCATTGCCCTCCAATACAACGGACAGCCTTTGTGCACGGAAAATGGCATAATGCCTTGGGTTTCGGAGTCCCCAGGGGCTCTGAGTTCATTGCAGTGCTGTAGGTCCACTGGTTGGGCATGAGGCCATGGCACACCTTGGCGACTTATACGCCATATCGGGCCATATCGGGACCAGTTCGACACGTGAGTTCGACACCACCCGCGCAAATGCAAACAGAAAAGAGCCAGACAGACATGTTGTTCAAAGTCTCCAGGGTTCTTTCCCAGCTAGTCCTTGCAGTGCAAAGCTGCAACAAATTCACTCAAGCATTCTAGTCATCTGTGACATATGATCTCGCCTCCGCGCAAATGCTGCAGCCAAAACACCTTTATGGCCATGCCACCAGCCACTTTGGACAGAAAACGTGGTGAGCTGTGCAAGCTGTTGAAATCCATTGAAATCTACCAAGAAGTCCAGCAAGGCCGGGACTGTAGTGGTACACATTGACCTGCGGCCGACCACAATGCAACAGACTCTGGACAAAACCGCCATGCCGTACTGTACACGTCTTATTTTGATTGTTTGTTGTTTCTTATGTGGTTCACTCCTGGCAGCCTGGTGTGTTAAGCGAACTTGTTTAATTTGCATTAATTTGCCACATCTGTGTAAACCACTAGTTCACTAGTTTGATGTGTTTGCGTATTCTTGAATGGGCTGTTTTGCGGCCTTCATTCCGCACTTCAAGGAGGCCCCAGCTTTGGCACGAACGAAAAGAATGTGCGAAAATCATTATATCCGCGAGTGTAAAACTCCAGATATGTCTTGGGTGCCAGTGGCTGGTGCACGGAGCACGTGACTCTCACTGGGATAACTCTGAGATCAGCAGTCGCAAGTATGTCATGGGTAATGTCGTTTCGTTTTACAGTAAGTGCGCACACGATTGCCCTATGCTAATCTTTTGCACTTTGCTGAGGCTACATTACACAGAAACCATGTGGCCCCATTCAATTGCCATGGGTGAATACGTTGTAGAAGGAATCATTGTGGAAACATGTGCAAGGACGCTTGTCAGCACACACTTCTCAGTCATTTTGCAGTCAGTCGAGTGCATTTGTTGCATAGGTGTGCATTTGCCGCTTTACACGGCTTTACACAATATATTATCATTATTGTTCTATATTTGGTGTGCTTGCTCTGCTTTTACTTTCTTGATTTTCTTGTACTAGGAGCTGCTGAGGAAAACCCGTAGTCACTTGGAATCTATGGATGCGCTGCTTTCCGGCCTGCAGACTGGCTTTCAAGAGGCTTGTCACCGCATTCGCCGCAAGTTCGATCAAGCCGGCGTTGGCTAAGTTGCTCAAAAAGGAGGTCACATACTTGGGATCGCAGAAACGTCTGTCTCGAACATCCTCCAACTCCTCGAAACGCAATCCAGTTGCCCCAATCCGAACTGCACACGATGCAGAAAAAGCCAGCACTTCAGTAATATATATAATTATATATATATATATATTGTAATGAATTTAAGCGCCTTCCAATGAGCCAATGACGAAAACCTCTCACCCCAATTATCTCTCGCGTTACCATGTCTTTTGTGTGTGTGTGCTAATGTTACTGATGTTACTAGTCACCTGCCATACAAAATCATACAAATAGATTCGAATGTTGAACTAGCAGTATCCTCTCTGGCTTTGGGCTGTTCAATCTCGCTCTTGTCATGTCATGGTAAGTCTGTCCTCAAGCGTGGCCTCTTCTCTGAAGGCGACCAACCTCCCACAAGCATGCGGTATCATTCAATGAATTGGAGAAAAAACACAGGTCAAGTCACCAGTCAAAAAGATCCAAAAACGTGGGATGTTTTCTCAACTCGCGGCGCAGCTCCCTTCAAGAAACACTCTTTTCGGTTCAGCAGGACTGATCTCACAGAAGCGCTTCAGAGGTCTGCCGAGAAACTAGCGGCCTGCGCATTCTGCGTTGCAGCTGCCCGCGCAACAGTTGGATTCATAACTGGTTTATGCCTAGAAATGCCTAGAATCCTTCATCACACTCTGTGCGAGAAACCGTGGAAACAGAGCAGCTGATGCAGTGTCTGTGCCATGTCGATCTATATAAATATATGTTATGCCAATGAGTCATGCAACCTTGAGTGCTGCTCCAGCCCCAGCCCTGCCTTGCCATGTCTCGTCTGACAGAATGACTTTCAGATTTTGATCCCAAGGCATTCTCAGGCACCTCGTCAGCTCATCTTGGCTCATTGCTGGCATGAAGATCAGGCTGAAAAAGGCCAAAGGATGCAGAAAAAATGGATCTTCTGAACATGACGACTGGCAGACTGGAATGAAACAGCCGTCGCGACCTGGCACTAGTCCCACAGGTCCCACAGGCAAACCTGGCACAATCTCCAGTGAGTCATTGGGAATCCTGGCCAGCCGATCTTGCAACACAATCATGCACAATCTGCCTAAAAAGATTTTAAAAGCGTGTGAATGCGTGTGAAATATCTAAAAATGATGAACGATGGCTGAAGCCCCTACTCCGTCACTGTTTGGGAATGTTTGGGATATCCAGCTTCATTTGGTGGACTTTGAATCTCAATGGCCATCAGGCATTGTCCACTTCCACTGTGTTGGCACATGCAGACTACATAGGTTGAAGAGCTCAAGCTCTTTATTCTCTGGATTCTTTTGGCAGAAACGGCAACATCCTTGCAAGAGAAGCAAGCGCACATACTTTTGGAGCATATCATAGCATTTGCTATGCATTTTCCCAAGATGTGATTGGGCACTTCGGGATAATGTAAATTAGCGTTTGCTAATTGTGGTCGCGTCGGATGGAGGTCATGGTTTCACCATTCCTGTGGCATTCTTTGAATGCTGTAAAGAAAGGGCTCGAAAGGGCCCAAAGTAAGTCACCAAAAACATCCAAAAACCTACCAGTCTCGAGCACCTGGAGGACATTCCACATTAAATGGGTAATTGCTTTTCCGTTGCGTCCGCATCTTCTGGTTGAGAAGGGCCTTTGCTAAGACCTTCATGGTCATTGGGTACCTCTAGAGACTCTAGAGTTTTACTTTCGTTTTGAATCTTCTCAATTTCGGAGAGCATGCTGATTGTGCTCCTGACCCTGTGGACTCCTCGTTTGGCCAAGCGCAGCCCAACTGCAATGAGCAAGAAGACGGTGAAGAGAAGACAAACTCCTGCCATGTCCAAGGCTGTGAGTTGTCCCTCCTCCACTTCTGACACTTCGTCCAGGCATGTATCGATTTTCTTGTATCGGAACTGTTCATATGTAGAAGCAAAGATGCCTTGGTACACCATGGTCAACGTGTAGTAGCTGAGGGCATTTACCAAGTCCGGTCGGACTGCGAAGCCAACATAGACGGTGAAAATGGCATCACCGACGAGGTGAAAGCCATTGGCACACATCGATTCCTGAAAGTCAGATCGTGCTAGGACGTCATGCTCAGGAACAATAGCAGCTTGGCAGTCACCATTTGACAAGCCTGCGAATAAATCCCCTGAGTTGGGGAATGTGACCACATCCATGGTGGGATGCTGGGCGCCTACCAAGCTCAACTGGATCTGGAGGACACAAACCTTCTGGCAGATTGCAGATGGAGGGTCACAATCCTTGACACTTGTAATACCTGTTGTCTGCTGTGCATTCACCACCAGCAGTTGAGCCAGGTTGGCCGTGTAGGTCGCAACCATGACCATCGTGAAAACGGCAAAGCCTACACGGATGGCACTTCCGGCCCTCGTCTTTGTGTCGTCAACCTTGGCGCCGCCAAGGTCACCCCCAGCAAAGAAGGCCAAAGTTCCATATTGCAGCCCTTCACAAATTGCACTGAGGCCTCGAAGTGCTCTGCGGGGATGCAGACAACTGCAACTGCAACTCCCATCTTCCTCCTCCACCCAGTAGAAGAAAACTCCAGCAGTGGAGACCAGGCTAGCCACTAAGAGCCACAGCATGGGTGAGAACGGCTTCAAGAAGCTGAACCAAACAGACTCATATCCCAAAGCGGGATCCCAGCGATTGTCAGCCACCTCCTTTTTGACCATCAACTTCATGTTCCCTGCAAGGATTGGGCTGGTAAAGGTGGCCATCTGTCGACGTGTGTCTGTCTCCATGACCACTGAAATGCAGAAATCAATCAGCTGCATCTGGACATCGTGTACACATGCATCCCAGGGGGAAGCAAATAGGCTCAAGGATGCTTGTGAAACAGTCTTCTGGACAGTTTGAAACCCTGCTGTCGTCGAGAGCTGTTGGAAGAAGCTAGCTACTGATCCGGTCCATCCGCCGTACTGCTCGTAGTGCCAGGGCCGACTACTGGCCGGATATGCGAAGCGGAAGGTCTGGCCGGTCAATTGAGTGCGAATCTGCTTCACAAAGTCCTCCTGGCTCTCTGAGTCACCACAAGTCAAGTATGAATACTGCAAGCCCAGTTGAGGAAAGTATGAGGTCGGGTAGCTGGCAGTGGAACAGTTCGAGGGATCCACATAGCAGTAGGACTGCTGACACTCTCCTAGAGAGGCACACAAACCAGGAAGTCTGGCATCCCAAGCTGCACAGTAAGATCCGAAGGTCTCTGTGTGGTTGTAGACCAGCAAGCCTTTGGGCGTTGGAACCTGTAGCATTCCTAAGTTGCTCCAATAAGTGCTTGACAAAAAACTCGCCTCTACGCATGGGCAACCAGGAAGGCCCAGTACTTGGCACTGAACCTGCACAAGCTGCCAAAGCACACCCATGGCGAGGTGGGCTTTCATGTCTGCCACGCGCCGGCTACGTTGTCAAAGCTGTGGGATTTGAGAAATCTCGCAATCAGGATCAAAACAGGATCACACACACGCAGGCTCACTTCTTTGGCAAGTTGCTAAATACGTCATGCAACTAGGTATCCTAAGCAATGTGGTATGCAACTTTCACTGCTCACTTCAGAGTCCTTGATGTTCCTGGATTGTCAGCCCGTTGCGATGCAACCACTTCACCTCTGGCAAAAGTGCTTTCACTAAACGCCCCAGGAAGCTGCTTTGCGTTCTTGACATGATGCTTTCAATAAACTGCAAAACACTTGGGTCGTGGACTCGCATGGGAGAAAACAGCAAATCAAAGACTGCAAACAAGGGCAAAACCCTGCTGGTCAGCACTGCACATCTCCCTCCCAACCCTCCCACCTCCTTACGTGGCTACAACTGCCAAGACAAGGTTTTCGACGAAGTAAACTCCCGCGAAAAGGTGCCATTCTTCTTGGCATGATGCACCAATACTAAGGCCAACAAGCAAGTTGCTTCACAATGTTTGGAGCATTTTGGAGCCCACGGCTACGAGTCGTGGCTATGGGCACGGCATGGCTATGACTTGTTGAGTCAGACGAGACGGTGAACATGCATCAATAGTAAATAAATAATGGTCCCTCCAGCCCCAACCTGTCTTGGAGCTGTCCCCCCTCAAGCATGCACTGGACGCCATAGCAGCTCCAGCAAGGTTGCTCTCCGTTGTTCTGTCGCGATTAAGGTTTTGAGGTCACTTGATTCTAGGCCTGTTGTTTTAATTGCAGCTTATGACTGCTCCACCATGGTTGCTGACAGTGATTGCGCACATACAGTAGCACCCAAGGACACCAAGACAGAAACATCCACTCTGTGAAAATGGCTAGATTCTAGAGCAAAATGTGCGTCTGTGACAGCCACAACCTCTCAATACATGCTGCATCATGTCGCAATAAGAAAGTGGATGAGCCTTAGCCTACTCTTAGCCTTGCACAAGGTGGTATGACTAAAGACTCAAAGCAGTCTGGCACAGCGCAGTATCGGAGCATGTACATTCCCAAAACATGCCTCAACCAAAGGGGAATAATTGAACCACCCCAAACATCATGTGACTTTTGTGTTTCAATGTTGACGCCGCTGAGCATTTATGAACATTTTGCGATGTAACGTTGACAAGCATTAACAATGTCCGCAGAAGGCTGGGGACAAGCCGATTCCTCTCTGCTCTGCCTCCCAGTCCACAACGTATGGTACAATGATGTACAATTAAAGGCAACCAAGCTGGTGCGACTGATATATACAACAGACTCCTGAGAGCCATCTCATTCATGAGACAACACCGCCATGCATTTAGCTATGATAGCTATGCAAGCACAGTAGGCACGTGTTGCCTGCTACGGCAGTTTGAGCGACACCGCGCAACCTTAGAGGTTGCTCCGAGCATTCCAAGAGCCACTGCTGCATGGAACCGAACATCATCATCGTCATCCAGTTGGGATGCAGCCAGTAGTGCCTGCACAGTTGGGATCAGTTGGGCCACCAGGCCCAGGAGCGACAATTTGAAACACAAAATCAGAAGGAAAGCCTGGCGCTAGCGGGAATGAAGGGCGACCAGAAGTTGGGCCCAACGGTTCTACATTGAAGAAGGCACAACAATTGTTGAAACCGGTTCAAATCTAAGTTTAATGAAATCACATAAAATTGAGATAAGTTGAGCTGAAGCTGCATCAGCATGCCCAACAGCTCTCTGCCCAAGGTTGCCCAAAGCAATTGCAGCTGCCCTACGAACTCCAGAATCCACGTCCTCGATGAGGCTGGCCAGTTGACGAACATGTTCCGCAGCAACTTCTCCTAGAGCACCAAGGGCTGCTGCAGCAGCTTGGCGCACCACCGGCTCGCTATGATGGAGTCTGGAGGCCACGTCCTCAGAGACGACAGAGACGGCGGACACAGCTCGCACAGCTTTAGTCTCGGTCTCCACGCGCTCCATCGCTTCCATGGCCATGGCCTTCTCTGTATCAACCGAAGTCACGAGTCTTGTCTCAATTCTCGGCCCCACCTTTGAAGCTTCATTCCGAGGGTTCGCGCCATTCAAATGTCCATGCGCAAAAGCCCGAGCGAGGTCCACTGGGTCCTTGTGTCTGGCACCCCGTGAATTGCTTTGCAAGTCCACGCGGGGAGATGCCAGGCACATTTGTGGCGATTGCGGCGATCGTGTGAAGCCCGGGCTGTGAACCTGCACGTCTTCACGAGGCTTCCTCACCTCGACCCTCTGCCTGCAGGTAGTGAATGGTAGTGACAAGACCGTTTCGAAACATTTCAAAACAGAGTGCAGCGATGTAGTGAAAAATGAGAGTTGATTTTCCATTGATATTCTTCAATAGTCTGGTCTCTGTTTTGAATAATGCCATCAAGCCGTGATCTGCAAGACGGACCTGAACTTTCTCTTTATACATGCAAATGGTCAAATGGTCTTCACGTCTGTGAGTCAAAACTTCTTTCATTTCCATCAAGTTACCTTTCCACTTTGGCAGTTGCACTGTCCGTGCTTTCTGCCATAGCAACAGCTCCCATCTGAGGCAAGGTCCTTGACAGCAACTCACGGTAATGAAAGGTGTATCATAAACATTCATAAACTGCATAAGACTTCTCGTCCAGATTGGCACAGCATTGCCCAGGACTCATAGACACACACATCACACACACACACACGCACACACACACGCACACACGACATGTTGCAGGTGCGTGGATGCGGTAATTAGGTCCCTTTCATGCTGACTTCAGAGTGCTGCTTGTTTGTCTCATCAAGTCTTGCGGACCTATTGCTGGTCATCCGCTGGCATGCATGATCAATAATTCAATAATTGGTCAGGCAGCACTATCAAGTCTAGGCATGGGCACTTGCTGCAAACTGCCAGGTTGAAAAATCATGCACAAGAAAATGCTCGACTACTTTCCTGGATGTGTTTGTCAACTTGCACTGCGTTTGCCTCACAGAGACAAGGGGCAAAAAAATGAAACATCTCGCAAAGCATGCATCGCCATGTTTCTATCAACTGAGGCGGAGATAGAGGATCATAGAATCTCAAAAATGCCACTTGGCCGTTGCAATGACGCTTGGTCTGACTATGGAGACCGGAGTCAGCTCGGAAAGTCTTTGAAAGGTGAGCATCAGAAGAGAAATACCGCCCCCCCCCAAAAAAGAAACATCAAAATCAATGACTTCTGCATCTTCTGCCAAGTGTCAAGTTGGGTGTTCTGGGACTTCGAATGCCTGCCTTTCCACTTGCTGGCAGAGTGTCAGCCATGCTCGCCGCTGTGTCGAGGCCTCCGTTGATTCTCCGCTCTAATTCAATCTAAGGCAAAGCATTGTCAAGTGAAACTGAGAGTATCTTGGAGTGTGTCAAAATTTGGCACCCAAAAATTATGTGGGTTGTGTGTGTGCCTATAAATCATCATCATCATCATCATCATCATCATTGTTTATGTTTATATCATGTGAATAAAACGGTGAACCCAGTCTTTACGTAATTTGATTAGATCATGTGTCGTACAACGTTCCCAGTCAAAATGCAGGGGTATCCCCCCGGTTCTCAGGAGCTGTCCCAAGCTGGACATCGTGCTGACGCAGCTTTGAGCCTGGCTGTGGGTCCCACATGACGAAGGGCTTGGAAAGATATGGAATATGTATTGAATATGTATGAATATGTTAGATAGATTTAATTTATATATAGATTATATATATATAATTATATATATATATTTGGATAATGTAACCACATATATCTCGGAGATGATTCGATCATCAATTACAGGTAACACGGGTTTTGAACACTGCTCAATCGAAAAGGTCTTCAGTGGAGTCACTCTAATCTAGTTCTTTATCAAGGTCCTGGACAGCCACGTCCCTCGAAGCTCGGGAAGGTGCTGAAGACTGCCTGAATGGTCGCTGAATGTTGCTGCTGATGGCATCTGAATGAAAGCTGCTGAAATTTTCCATGAAGACGGCAGGCACCTGATTAAACCTGACAAGGCGGCAGGCGAGTGTCCCCCAGCCGGCCTCGCGCCCATTCCCCTCATTCGATCGAGGTAACCGCGCGAAAGCATAGAATGGCTTCCCGAGCCGCCTGATTTCAGTGATTAAATGAGTACCACATAGTACCACAATTCTCCTTCAATGAAGGTCTTCCCATCAATCTATATTGGTGCCTGCAGAAGACCTTGAAGAGCAGCTGAGGCGGTCAGAACCCCATCGACGAGCCTCAAAACCAGGAAACAAGATGAAACAAGCACATGCCAAACGTGCCCAACAATCCAAGCTTGTTTGGATGCCAACATGTTGTAGGCTTCGAATTTTCTATGGATTTGTGCACTTATTCTTCAACACCCCAAAACATGAGGGGACTGAAAAGGCAAGAAAATGCCAAGGAGTGGGCCCGAGCTAGTGCTGCACCAAATGATTCTGCCCTCAGACTCGTTTGCCTCAGCTGATCGGCAATTGGCCAAATCGCTTACATCCACATTTATGGCATTGGATGTATGTTAAATATTATTAAATCTCTGGTTGTTCACGGGACGGGGGTCACATTCGCCCCTGAAAGAGGGTCACATTCGCCCCTGAACCAAAAGGGGTCACATTCGCCCCTGAACCACAAAACTTTCAATGTGGTACTCAACCCTTTAGGGTTAAACCTGGGGACAAGGGGACATTTAGGGGGACTGGGACCTTTAGGGGCATCCAAACCATCTTCGAAGGTGCTCGAAATGGATCTTACAACCTAGCATCCATAGCGTGCTGGAAGTTGATTGAAATGGCTCTTGGAAGGTAACATCCAAAGCGTCTTCGAAGTTGCTCAAAATGGATGTTACAACGTAGCAATGGTACACCGTAGCATCCATAGCGTCCTGGAAGTTGATTCAAATGGCTGTTGGAACGTCGCATAGCACGTGAATATGACTCTCTAGGGTGGAAAAATCCTTTTGAGGCTCTGAAACTATTGCGCCTGCCACGCAAAAGCAGGGGTCACATTCGCCGCTGAACGAGGGTCACATTCGCCCCTGAACCCACTTCATCGCACTTCATTCAGGGGCAAGTGCGACCCAACATGGTTCAGGGGCAAATGCGACCCCCGTGCCTTGTTCACAGTCCCCAGCACTATTTCAGCTCGAGGATCTTTGACAGCTGTCGCTTTCACTTCAAGCGGAGCTGAGTCAGCGACGCCCTAGCACGCTCTGCCAATCTCGGCTCAGCTGCTGCCTGGACAGACTATAACCTATGACAACCTATGACAACGTAGGATAGAACAGGTAGGCCCTCGAGACAAAGTGCCGTCATGCGCTGTCAAGTCGATGTATTTGGACATTCCAGACCTCGTCCGACCACCTCTTCACACATGGGCGCCTTGCATCGGGAAAGCGAAAAGTATAACAATATGAAAGAAATGCGCAAGTTCTCCATCTGACAATCTGGGCAAGGCACCCCGGAGCCAAGGACTTTGCAAAGAGACTTGTGCTGCCTGGTCAGCACCAAGCAACAGCCAAGCATGACAGGATGGTCACTGGATTTAACTCAAAACTTGCTGTTCCCCCCCCATATGTTGCCTCCAGTCTGGCTTGCAGTGCTACATCTCAGGCTTGACAGCACGTTTGGAGATGATGACCGCCTGCATCTTCAAGTTAGATCGCGCAATTTGTTTTGAAATGTTTGGAATCTTTTCCGGCTCGAACATTAAATGTCTTGAGCTGCGGCTGCCTTCTTTCGCCAGACTCATGAGCCTTAGCATCAAGCAATCACCCATTTGCTTGTCTTCATGGGGTCCTTGAATTCTTGGACCAAGGGGAACAAAGAGGGTGACCATTGGCTTTTCCCATCAAGCCCTGTGATTGTTCCAAGGCGGGTTTTCAAACAAGCCCCCGGACGCTAGACACAGGCGACCGGGGCGAGCCGCGCAAAGACCTAGGGAGAGTGTAGTCAAATAGTGCCCAATACAATCAATACTGCAGTATGCAGGAGCACAATCAGAAATGGATAGAAATGGAAGTTCTGATGTAATGGAGCAAAGGAGAATTTCTCAGATTCTTGTCCTGGCATGACATGTCTGGAGTCCAAAACAATGCAAGGCACAGAACAGCAAAGTGCAATCCTTTTTTTGGTTAAGAGCGCGCTTGAGACCTTAACGTGCCAATGTCTAGACCACTGAGGTCTGAGTAGGAGAGACGTGTATGCACAGCAAATGCGTTGGAGCTTTCAAACTGTCCATTTAAAGGTTGGACGGCCGCTTTCGCATCATGGCATTGCGTCTGGCTTTGCACACCAGCTCGCCTTTCTGATTGAAAGCACGATGTTCAAAGGTGACAATGCCACGGGTCGGGTTGGATGAACTGGGTCGGTTTTTCATGACCTCAGTTTCAGCCCTTAAGGTGTCACCAAAGAAAACCGGCCGAGGGAATAGGACCTCTTCGAAGCCCAGATTCGCAATGGTGGTTCCATGAGTGGTCTCAAGCACCGACATGCCCACCAGCAACGCTACTGTAAACATACTGTTCACCAGTGGCTGTCCAAATTGCGTGCCTTTGGCCGACTCATAATCCAGGTGAAGTCTAGCGGGATTCAATGTCATAGTGGTAAACATGAGGTTGTCCGTTTCTGTCACAGTTCGGGTGAGTGCATGAGGGATGATCAAGCCCTCCGTCAGCTCCTCCAACCACTTGCCATGGTATGGACCCTCTGGCCATGTTGGAGGCGAAGGCGATTCTGAGGACCCTGCGAAGTCAGCTCTGTCCAGGATGCGCTGTGCCTGCTTAAAATGTGGGATGTCCACCATCTGACCCTTAAAACGGAAAGCTCCAGGCTGTGACTTGGCAGCTTCCAAAAGTTCCTTCGCTTCAGCCACTTCTTTCAGACTGGGCGAAAATGCTGCGTTGACGACGTCGATTTGGTCCGGATGGATGGTGAGTTTGCCGTCGAAACCTGTGTCTGCGGACTTCTCGCTCTCTGACCTGGCACAATTCGTCTATGGAACCATTTGAAAGTGGAATTTCCCCAGCCCTATTGCTCTGGTTTCCCCACAACCCGAATAAGTGCTGAAACTAACAACGCAGTGGAGTGTATTGCAACAAGGGGATACTGCCTGAAGCGATCCTTCTCCCAACAAACGCAGAGCTACTAAAGGCTGCAACATCATGAGCTTACAGTCTCTGTTGAGTGGACCAGTAGGTGGTGGGAGGGGCGCATTCAAGTTGATACAATTAAGTTGAAACAGAATGCATCCAACAAAACAGAAAAAATATGACAAAATTAGGATCACAAAGCGTACCAACTGCAGTGGGGCACCGCAAACCGTTAAGATCCTTCAGGCTTGTGTACACAGTGTCGATGGCCTGGACCTTGGCGCCCTTAGCAGCCAAAAGGGTGAGACTTCGACAGAGCTGAAAGACCTCCAAGTACTCACCAGCACCTCGGATTCTCAACGGTGACGCTCCAGGCCAAAAGATTCCAGGAGTTTCAGAAAGGGTACAGCTGGAAACTGAGGGATGAAAATCGTCGGAGAAATATCCAAAAGATCTACACATATTTCATCATATTTCTAAACTGACTATTTTTCAAATAATTATTCTGATATTTTCTGATACATGTCCACAAGCACAGCAGCGTCGCGTGTTTCAAGTTCAAAGACATCTCAAGTGTGTATGACATGACGTTGCTACAATATCTACAATGAATAAATGCGCGGTGAAGTTTTTCAGACATGCACTGCCCAACGAATTGAGGAAGCATGGTTGCCCCATTGGAAATACTGAGCGCTCATGTAACTGTTACAATGTAACTCATATAGCTTAGGAGGCATAGATGAAATGAATGAAAACCTATGGTGGGCGTCACAGGAGGATGAAATTCGGACGAGGCACCATCCCTTCTGCGCTTGGCACCCAGCTCTGCTGAGAGATCTTCAGCACCCCAGGTGATCGCCTCAACTCGGGGATGTCTGGCAATCTCATTGGCTCGCAATGGGGCCTCCGGCACTTCGCTCACAATGGGCAGCACTGTCGTGGCACCAACTTCTCGACCAAGTTTTTGCTCGACTTTGGAGAGTTTTTCTCCTAACTTCTCGAGATCATCACGGCTGGAAACCTTGGGAACCACCAACATATCTGGCTTCTCGGCTTTCATGGTCATTTCCACATCTTCCTCCCATAGCTGGGTGTCCAAGGGATTGATCCGAACACACACGGTCTTGTCGCCCCAGTGCGTGGATGCCATCCATTTCCCAACCTCTGCCCTGGCTGCAGGCTTCTCCGCTGGCAAGACGGAATCCTCTAAGTCGATGATCAGCGCATCAGCGCGGGAGGCAAGAGCTTTATCGAGGAATTTTTGGGATCCGCCTGGGACGAAGTGCAAACTCCTGAGCCGCCTGGCAGCTCGAAGACGACTCAGGTGGAAGGCCATGGGGCTGTGATGAACGAGGCTTGGCTCAGAGGATCTGAAGCTGCAAACTGAGAATGAACAAAGGCTGACAAAGGACAAAAAGCACGTGAAGCACCGCAGGACAACCACTCATTGAATGACCCTACATTTGCATTTCAACAACACTTCCACGGAAGAAAACGTAAGGTGGTGGGTGATGGCATTGCGCGTTCTCACTAGGTTTTTCTTCTTGCTTCGCCGAGCCATGAATCCTTCACTAAATAATTAGGAGGGATGGGGCCGGAAAGCCACGCTCAGCCACTATATCTTTCTCGAAACCTCAGAACATCTCAGGTCTTAGGAGCACATAGTTTGTCATGCAAGACTTCTCATCATGATAAACTACAGTGTCGACAGATGTCGACAGTCCCTGGTCACCTGGACCAACTGTCAACCATATCAACCATCACCTGCTCCCACACCTCTTGGGCTGCCTCTGACATCCTCTGACCATACGCCTAGAAAATCTCCAAGAATCCCAAGTTAAGGCACTCCTCGGGCGGTTCGCTTGCCATCACGTGTGGGTTCTTGTCCAAGTAGTCTCGCAAAGTCGTTTTCCTCACCAAGGACACTTCAAAGGGTGATGCAGAAATACTCAGGGTATGGTGAAGTTGTTACCGTGGGAGATGAGGATGAGGATCCCCAAGGGATAGAAAAGCCTCGTGCAAGAGTCGTCGACTCTAATCTGCTTCAGCGTTTCAGAGCTTTTACCACTCGTTGTCCTAACACATTCAAACAAGTCCCGATCCCTCTTGCAGAATTGATGCGCTCACTGCTTCAAAGGCTCCCATCCACAAGGAAGGTCTCATCAAGGAAGCTCTTGGACACATACTCAGGAACTCCTGGAGTGTCAGAGCAATTCAGACGGCCCCTACCACCCGCAGTCTCGTGGCGCAGCATGCTTCAGCTCCGCAGCTCGTTTCATCTGAACGTAATACCGTAATGCTGCTACCTTTCCCTTCGTAGCACACCAAGTGCTCATTATGCTCTCCACTGAACACAAACAAAAGCCGAAGCACAAAGTGTCAAAGTGTCACTGACGAAACCTTTCAAGGCCTTCTTTCTGGGTTGCTAGAACACAATGTCTGCAGTACCTTGTTGCAGGGGTGCAGGGCAACACATCACGGGCAGCAAGCGTGGACAAAGCATGTCTGCATGTGGAACTTGCATGAACTTCAGATGGCCGCAGGATGCCTACACATTCAATAAGCCCAAGAAATGGCAACCGCAGCACAGGACAAGAGTGATCTGCAATGCCGAAAGCCGATTGCCTGCCAAGCAGCACTGGACATGGCCGAATGCCAGAGTCTGGCTCCCAAGACCAAACCTTTACCTCTCCAAAAGCGGGCTTCAAGCATTTTTCCTCAGGTGGCTGAGCCATTTTCCTCATCAAACTCTCCAGGCTGATGGCCTCTGAAACATCTGGGCTGCTGCTAAGCTGCATAGCGTTGCCATATTGGCAGCTGCTGCAGTTTATCATCTGTCGATCTGGTACACATCAGACCGGTATTCCTGCGTGTTGTGGTAGCCACCACACATCACAGCAGTGTGGCACGCGACTCAGCGGTGAAAACAGCGCCTGCCCAAACTTGGCGCTCCCTCTTCTAAAGCTTCAAAGGCAGCTTCAATGAACCTTGGCGTGATAATGCAGTGCCTGCAACTTTTTTTGCATGAAAGTGGTGAGAGGACTTCCAATCAAAGGCAGTCAGTAACTTGGGCATTGCCTTCTCTTGTGACATACTCGCTGAATCTCACTGATAGTTCTGATAATTAGTTGAGGCCTTGGCTCAAATTCCTCCTCACGTTGTGCCAAAGGCTCCCACTCAGACTTGGGAATCCTTGGAAAGCTTCAGGGCATAGGAGGAGAATGGTTGTGCCATGTTGTGCCATTCTGCATGGAGAATTGCCACCGCAAAGCCATGCGAGGCAGTGGTGTTCTGGCTACACAGTGACAGTCAGCATCGATCAACTCAAATAGAATCTCCAAGTGTCTGATAGGCGCATGCCACAAATGAGCTTTCAGGGTTTGGCGTTGTCGAGAGCGATGCAATCTCCTGCTCAACTTGAAAGAGCTTTGCCATTTTGCAAGTTCATTCATTGCCGCATCAAAATTGTGACTCAACCGCATTGCCTTCGTTTTTGGCCGGGCAATTCCAGGATACTCTCCACCTGCAAGAAACAAACCGTCCATGCTCCAGTCAAGGACTTGGGGGGGAAGAGGTGTGGATAATATCTTCAACGCATGTGAATGCATGACATCGCAGGCATGCCTCTCTTAAGAAACAAAATCTACATAGCCATCAGTGCATATCCTGGCATATCCTGGCTTTCCTCCAGCAGGAACATGCAGGAACATCCTCTACTGATCTCAGTCAAGAATCGCTCAAAGAAAATTGGAGCAGGATGTGCAAATTGCCGTTGGAAGCCCTTCACTTTGACGTACTGGAAGCCCTGGCGCGAGATTCGCGTCCCCCGTGGCATCCCTTTGGTACAACCAGCATGCGAAGCTAGCTCCGCACCTGCATACTGGGCGTCGTCAGCAGCGCACTCTTTTTGCTCAGCAAGGAGCCAAAACCAATGATGGTGACCTTTCCACAAGGCCAGTGACGGCCAGTGGGCTCGTCTCCAAGGATTTCCACTATCACTATCTGTCACTCGTGTCTCATGTCGGAGTACATCTGGAACCGAGCCACCATTTCAGATTCCATGGCTCACCAAACGCAACAAATCTGTGGTGTCAGTGGTGTCCCCCTCAAAAATTCTTGTATCCACAGTGTGCATCTTGCTACATACAGTACAGGCACTCAAACTTGGTGACCCTGGGCACGCTGCAACTGATAGTCACAGACTTTGCTGTAAGAATCATAGGGAATAACCGCAAGTCTTGTGGTGCTTAAAGGTTTAAGGCTGGTGCAACGGAATTAATCGGATTTTGTGGTGCGAAATCTATCGATCTGATTGATCGGACGGAAGTGTTCGAGCCACTCAGCTGCTCAGGACAGCTTCAAATCTGGAAGAAACAAGAAGCAAGTTGAAACTCTAAACTCTAAACCTCTCTGAACTCCACGGGGCTCATGGCACTTCTCAAAGGAATATTTCTTGAGGTCCTGTCTGCAGGCCCGACTCCGCTTCAGCCTGGCAACTGCGCTGCTTCTCTTTTGCCCTTCAGAATCTAAGCCAGTCGTAAATCCACAATGATCAAAAAAAATCAAGTTGATCAGTTGATCATAGTTAAGCCATGTTAATCCAAGTTCATCTTATGTAGAGTCTATGTCTATGTTGATCAACGAGCTACTTATACAGTGCAACAACCTTCGTCTTGAGTCGTCTTGACAGTTGACCTTGAAGCTCAGCAAGTCTGGGCCTTGACCTGTGGCATCCGTAACGGAGCCGAAGGAGAAGGTGAGCTCAGCAAACCTGCCGTGGAGCATTCGGAATTTTGACTTGGGCAAACCATGGCAAAACCACCAAGAGACCCATAGGATCCCATAGGCTATCATAGGAACCCCAGAGTAACCTCGTAATAATCCAAAATAATCCCAATACTAATTCCATTGTGACCCCATGGTAACCCCAAAATGATCCACACAGTAGCTACAATGACTTGATCAAAAAGTGCAAGTGCATCGCAGGTTGCAACCACGAAAGTCTAAACAGCGAATTTATAGTTGGAGCTGACTGATGCAATCGCATGGCACCTTGCTTTGAAGGAGTTGCTCCTTGGTCAGAAAACCTGCCCAGATCTAGCAAGATCTGCCAGAAATGATTTAGAACCACAGCTCAAATATTCAAATGGTCGAGACATGTCCAAACCACCTTGGAAGTCTTGGCCCAGCCCCTCTCAAGCTGCTGGAGAGCTTCTCCTTAAATTTACATCATTTAAGATATTTATATAAGATATTTAAACATTTAAACACACCTAGAATCTGCAAGATGTGATGCGGAGATGTGATGCATGCTCTGAGAACCCTGCCACCAAGGCTTCCGCATCTCTTGCTGAGCTGCACGACCTCAGGCCAGTCCAAATTGCAAGCCGTTGTGATTTTCATCACTTCCGAGATATCTGTTTCATCTCCTTTCCCTGAGGGTTGCCATATCTGGAGTTGCATTCTTGGAAAGTCATTCTTGACTATTCTTAACTTCTTAACTTCTTAACACTTGATGATCTTGATGTGCTGATATTGTGCTTCCACTTCTCTCTTCATCCGATCTCTGCCTCGCTGAAGTGTGCTAGGCTTCCTGCACTGATGCTTGGCCGCTGACAATAGCCTTGGTGCCAAGGCTGCCAAGGATTGTCACAACACATTCCTGGTGACAGGATACCACGGGTGCAGCCTCTGCCTCAGGTGAAGCTTGCGCAGCTTGCTCTGCCTATTAGCTGCGAGGCCCCAAATTGCAATGGATTGCAACGGAGCAAACACCAGGAAATCATTACCACATCTTACCACGAAAAAACATGAAAAAACACAATAATACACAATACATAGCTCCAGCTGCAGCTGTAGACAAACTTTTGAATGCTCTGCAATCGCAATCCCATTGATGACATATTGTGCCATGTCATGTGTTGGAGCAGTAGGTCATAGGTCAGTAGGTCTCAAAAGGCTCCTTTGTGGCTCCTTTCATGACGTGTTCCCAGCCTCTGTCAGGCTCCATTTCACTTCCAGCCATGCCTTGGCACATTTGATGCCGATGCCATTCAGTCCATTCACAGTGGGTCACAGTGGGCCAATTTTCACTGAGATGGCATACTGGATAGCGTGCTGTCCGCAAGACTTCAAGCACCTGCAGGCGGGGTGCATTTGAAAGCACTGCAACTCCGAACCCTCTAAAGTGTTTTTGAGGTCTTGTTCGTCTGTGAGCAGATGTGGAAGAAACTCCAGCTTTTGGACTACCTTTTGGACAAAGCCTGCAATGGGTTTCGTGCAACAACCTTCATCTTCGAGAAGGGTTGCCGCCCAACTCTCGTACTCTCATCCATGAACCATCCAAAACCAAATATCAGGATTGCAAGATTCTAAGCTTTACACAGCTCTACACACCAAAAATGCCTTATGGTAAACTACTGCAACGTGCGCGATATCTACACATATTACATATATACAGATACACACACACACACACACACATATATATATATATAAATAAATAATTGTATGACAGGTGTACCATCCTTGATGGGTCAGAGAGCACGAGGATGCACGAGGTCTACTTCACGTTAAACGCAACGGTTTGTGATGTGAGTGCATTAGGTCTACGAAGCGTCGGCCTTGGGCCTCCTGGAGTCATTATCAGCCGCCTGTGGCTGGTGAAACTTCCACAGCCTCGCCGCTGGGTCTTATGGCAGCCGTCTTCAATTTGAATTTGAATTGAAGAAATCAATAGGTAATAAATGTAATAAGTATACTATGTTATATCTATATGTATCGTACCTTACCGTATAATATATCTTAGGCTTACAATATGATAAATGGCATGGCATGTGCGTGAGCGGTTGTGAGGAAATATGCCATATGCCTTTCTGCATCTCTGTGTGTGTGTGCCTCTCCCTCTCTCTCTCATGTGCGCCAATCGCATGCATGCAACACCTTGGGAAAGAGGCAGTCGCCTCCCAAGGGGTTCGCACAGCTTTCCATTCATCAATCGAGTACAAAAAAAAAAACACAGGGAAGGCAGCAAATCTTGAGAAAATCGCTTCATTGTCAGCTGCCAGGAAAGGAAACTAATTATATTATATATATACGTATAAATTATATATAATTATAAAGAATACGAATAAAATAACATGTTTTGTAGCACAGCTCGATTTGTCCAATTTCTGGACCACATATGCAATTCAAAACACTTTGAGCACGGTCGACCCATAGCTGTCCACCTGGAGGGTCTACCCTGCCCATCGGAGCGGTGAAATGGTGTCATTTCCTCGCCGTCTCAGTCAATGCTTCCTCAAACGGGATACCGACGTCTCAGACTTGTCTCAAACTGTTTTCATAAAGCTGTGAACATCTGTGAACCATGAGCTGCATCTAGCTGCATCTAGCTGCATCTAGCTGCATCTAGCTGCATCTGAATCAAGCTGCCTGAGGCTGCTACATCGCTGCGACCATCCACCAGAAACCGGCTGATTCGTCTGGTTCGTCGCAGTCGTGTGATTTGTCTGAGACATCTGGAATTCCCTTGGTGCCATGGGACTCGCAGCTCATGTGTCACTCTGAGAGCGGCAATGCATTTCATGACTTTCATGATCGTGAATCATTCATCATACATGCACAAACATGGAGCCACAGGACACCCTATCCTGCCGCATCGCCTTGCGTCCTATTACATCACATCATAATAGTGCAATATCATATTTCATTATTATTATTATTATGTTTATTATCATTAGTTTTTTCATTATTATTTATATTTATTTATTTTTATTCTATATTTCATCCATGCACTAATGGTACTAATGTGCACTTCGCTTGCACTGTGCAGCCAAATTTCGGATAGTGCCTCCTGAAGGATCCCTGCACAATAGTGAGTTTGATTGCGACCAAGACCTGGATGCTATGCTTCAGCTGAGAACTGGCAGTTGTCAACGGCAATGACCTGTGTATAATTTGAAGAAAAACTATGCAACTGATGTATAAATGTATATATAAATGAATAATTAATATAAATGAATAGAGGTTGCACAGGACCAGTCGGATCAGTCTGGTAGCTTCAAGCTGTCAAAGAGCGGGCTGCAATCGCGGAAATTTCTGTCCGAATATTCTATCTTTACTCTGGTGACAATGCAAAGATGCAGCGCACTATAGCTGCTATAGCTCAGTCTATCTCAATCTTACATCTCTCTCTTTCCCCTGAAAAAATGGGGACCCATTTTACAGCTTGCGGCAGTGATGCTTCACGACCCACAGATCCCACAAGCCCAAGCAGCAATGCCAAGGTAAAAGACCGCGACGGCAACTATCTTCCCAACTGTAGTAGTTGGTACATAGTCACCATACCCAACAGTCGTGGCCTCGGGATGCTGACATATGCTGACCCCGAAATCTCCCGTGGAAGAGGTGATGCCGAAACCGCTGTACTGATCGCGGGCCGAAAAAGCCGGGGCCCCCGGCAGTTGCGAAAAACCTGGTCACGTCCCGCCAACACATCAAAAAATCAAAAAATAGCAAATGAAAAGATTGTTCATCGGGTTTATTGATGATATTGATTCTGATTTTTCTGGTCCTTGCCTTGTTATGCCTTGTTCTCATTTCTTTCACGGTGACGTTTGCAACTCCACTGTCCACTCTTTGCATTGAATACAACCAAAATCTATACCACCGCGCATTGCTTCCTAGAACTTGTCACATCCTGATTGAGCCGAACTCCTGCCCTTACTTCTTTCTGACTGGAACAGTCGCCGCACACATTCCGAGTTCGCTTTCTATTTGTCTTGCCTTGCCTGCTAGTCTTTTCCACTCGATGTCGTTTGTATTGCGTTATACTGCGTTGAAGTTGTATTGTGACACCGCCTGCTTTTGTTTTCGATGTGAAGATGTTTGGCCTGTTGCGGCTGCCTGGTGCCACACCCCCAATCAATCGAAATCTCTTATCTCTTTCATCCCATCCAATGATCCTTTTGGATCCTTTTGGTGCAAGTCGAGGAGCCACCACACTGTGTGCAGAATGGATTGAAATGGCGTTGGCTCCCAACCCATTCCATCTTTGGTTGGCCGGATGTACCTCAGCAGGCACGACGAGAACGGAAGATGATCAAAATATATCAAATGACAAAACGATTCTGCCATTATCATCATTCCGCCAACACCTCCTTCCAGTGCCGAATCCTGCAGGCAATTGACGTGCCCATCGGATAGACCTCCATGTCGACCAACTCTGGGTCCACTGAATACGTGGTGCCTGCAGCAATCGTAGAATCACCGTGTCTAACCGTTTTCCAAGAGCTGCTGGACTGAGAGCTGCTGGACTGAGAGCTGCTGATAGCACTTCCCAGGCCTTCCGCGAAGAACATGCAGGAGCCGAACATGATGCAGACCAAACCTGTGAGAAATGAATAGACAAGGCTCCTGCAATGGGTTGAGAGTCACAAATAGATGGAAGAAACGAAACAGAACAAAGATGAACAAAGCAAACCCAGAGCCCCGAAGCATCTAGCACTGCGGATGCACTGCTGCACCGCATCTGCATGGCCAAGGCGCAGGTAAGAGAGAACACTGAGATAATTCCGGGCAAAGCTTCGAAGACCTTTGCAGCAAAGGCTGATCCAAGCTCTCGCAGATTAACAGATTTAACAGAATTTAACAGCAACATGACCTACCACTCTTGTGGTCACTAGTCTGAGCAGAGGCCATACCAAAATATACCAAAAACGCCTTGAAATATGTTGAATTTTGAAACTTCTTGAAACCGCTGATGTTCATTGAATGCAGCAAGGATGCGATAGTGAGGATCATATCGACACCTGCAGGGAAAGGCGATAGCATGTGATAACCCTGAATCACTGCTGCATAGCACCAAGTTGGCACATGACTGCATACAAACAAGCCATCGCTGAGAGCCCGGCATGTCCGCATCTTCGGTGATTTCCTTGGTCAAATCGTGACAAATTCGTCGAAAATGGTCGAGCTGAACAAGGGCTCTGCCAAATAGGTTTAAAACTGATAACAAAGATTAACAGAGCCGAAAAGGATCAAAAAGGACAAAGTCATACAAAGTCTGAAATGTGTCTGTATCAGCTGAATCAGCTGCATCTCAGGTTTGGAGATCTGGAGTTGGGTTTCAACCAGCGCCTAATGGCCGCTTCATCACGTGTCTCGTTTGATATCGTTTGATAGTGCCAAGCATCAGTACGCGGAAGACACGAACAAGCCGCACAACTCGCACTACTCCCGTACCACTGCCTATGACAAGAGAGTGGACACCGCAGCGTAGCATACCGTAATACACCTTATTGAATCTCATTCTTATATGGTTTTGCTGGCCATCTTCCCTGCTACTTGATGGCTGGCACAGTGATGATAGATGATGATAGCCTTCACCCTGCCTCCAAGACCGATGAATTGCATGTAGAAGGGCACCTTGGATGAGATGCCATCAGAATACCTCCATAGAACTCATCAGCCTGGTGTGTCGCCTCAACTCTCCTGAAGTTGTCTTCATGGTGTCATGACTGAAACGCAATGAAACATATTGAAGCCCAGGAGCAACAGCCACCAGGTCGATGACATTCAAGGGCTGCAGCGCATACCTTGCCGAGAATGGTGAAGAGCAGGGAAAGGTGCATTTCTTCTTGCATGAATCCAATAAAGTCCAATAGAGCCAAAGCATAGCATAGCCAGAGCATGTCATTCTCTCACAAGCTTTATCTACAAAAAGCATCAAAAGGCAAGGCCCTGGCTTCAACGTTTTCTTCCAGCCAGAGAGTGGGTGAGAGCCCTCAGCACATTTCAAGATAACGAGCTATCAACCTCCAGTCCCGGTCTCTCTCTACACGTTGATTGTTGAAAACTGCTGTGTCCCAAAACATGTCCGACTTTGAGCGGAAAAACACGCTCACGCTCTATGCTCCCTGCCAGGAGCAGTCCCAACTCGTGCTCCGTGGCAGAATGTGCGAAGAGAATTCGCAACGCCTGAAGTTAAGTCCAAAGCTCGCGAGAGCAGGCTATTTGACTGTATTCCACAGGAGAAACTCAAGTGTTGGTGACGGTCACCACTTAAGGCAAGCAACGTATTCCACAGTGAAATAGATGGTTCCTCATACAAAGCGCTACAAGGAGGTTGTGCAAAATGACGCGCACATAAGAAAGTCTATTCCACTGGAGTTCATGGAAAACGTTGAAGCATTCGGAGTTTTGCTGTCCCACATTTTCTTTCGCCAAGAAACCAGAGACTTCTATCGTGGCAAACGCTGCATCTGGCTCTGGCTTGCAGAGTTCAACACCTCGGTCAAAGCACGAAGGTGACATCCCTTGCGTTGGTCAACCCTTCAGGTTTCAGGTGCCTTTGTCCTGTGGGTATGCTGATGGAACAGCTGCAAGGACAATATCGATGAGAACCATGACATCATGATTCATATTGAATTATTCATAATAGTTCATAATTATATTGATTAATCATGATCAGTTGTATTCAATTGTACTACATTGTAATAGAATTATTAGCTCTATATATAATTCTATGTCATGTATATATATATGTTGCTGATCGCTATTGCCCCATAGTGATTATGATCAATCACCGACAATGCCACAAGAAATATCGGAAGGGCCAAGGACCAAGGCACTGAGCTCGACAATACCACATCCTTCCGGCGTGTAGCTGAAAGCCGGCATGGATTCCTCAGCATCGCTATCGGCATGGGTCAAGACCCTGGCCGGACGCGAACGCCACAGGGATACCAGTGAAATCAGCACCATGTTCCTGCCAACTCATGGGGTATCTCTGTGTTTCATTGTGATTTCATTGTGTTTCGGTGTGCTTCGATGTGCCCAGGCTCCAAAATCAAGGAAATAGTTGTCACGATGATCAGAGAAAAACTGATGTAGGACAGCGCCATTGCCAGCATGCTGGAGTTGGGATCGTTCAGCACCTCCGGCGACACTCGGGCTGCAAAGCTGGAAATTCCTTGAAGTTTCTCATCGCAAGATATCGCAAGTCTTAATATGTTTTAATCAAGTTTGTTTGTCCTTTGTTTGAACATAGTTGAACGGTCCAAATTGCGAGCCAAGTGACGGTAAAAATCCATCTACCTGGAAGTTGTGCAAACACTAAGCCTCTTCAGCCTCTTTTCTGTTCCAAACATAGCTTTCAAACCAGGGCTAGGGAGACATGAAGGGGGAGAATAGGTTGCTCAATGTTGCTTAGCACATCCCAGCACTGCCTATGGCCCGTTGTTCCAAACATTTCCAAACACTGTTGCAAGACCTTGCAAAGAATGCGATCCGATCCAGATAAACATCCCGACATGTCCCAACCAAAAGAGGGTGTGCTGATTTGTGCTGCCCTGTTGCGAATGCCACCCTTTGGCTGCCCTTCCAATGGACTGTGGCTGGTAGATAGTGAAACCGAGTGATCCCGCTCGGAGAAGATGCTTCCACGCCGACTGAGTAAAAGTGCAAAGCTGGGCGCAACAGAATTCACTAACAGAAGTGGAAGATGGTACTCGAATGATTTCCTATGACTCTATAATTACGATAAGTATGACTCTACATGATAAATATATATAAATATAATTATACATATACAGTATATAAATATCACAAGTTTGATTGATGCCAAGTCTGTTTGATGCTGCACCGCTGCTATAAGCAGGACCATGGCAGTCTCCGGTGCTGGCCCCCTCCACAGCTTCTGCCAAGTGTCGGTTCAGGAGCATTAGTGTAGGCTCTATGAATTAGCGAAGTCATTCGTCTGCGCCGTCCCCCCTGTCGCAGGAGCTGGGGTGGAAGGGCTGCTGGTGTGCATCAAAAATGAGAAGCTTCATGCTCCAGTTGCTGAGCGTGTGCCATGGGTCCGTTGCGTTGATTAACTCATTTGTTGGTAGCCACCTTGCTAGGCTTCGGATGATGCGTATCGTCAATTTTATCATATCCATGATATCCATTTGAATCTCCATAATATTATATATAGATAGATATATGCATGCATGCATGCATGTATGGATGGATGGATGGATGCATGCATGTATGTTCTGTTCTGTTCTGTCCTGTGCCCTGTGCACTCGCGTAGCAAGTGCGGCGGCACATCTCCCAAAAACCGCTTTCAAGGTGAAACAAGCAAAAACGCGTGGTGAGACAATCTCATCAAAAAGCAGGGATGAGCATAAACAAAATAAATTACACGAAAAGGGGTGAAATGTGGGTATCACGGATTCAAGGCACCCTCGCTTCGGCCAGGTGCATGCGAAACAAAAATGACCTCATCATCATCACTATCACTGCTTGAAATGATCCACGTGGTATTTCTCATTTGTCGTCGAAGTTTTTCCCGGAACCTTCTTTCAGCTGTTTCCCGTATGATTTGGATCTGGGCAGATCTCATCAAAGTCATCCACCGATCAGGGACTTGCAGGCTGACCAGTCTCTCATGTAAGATTGCTCTGTCTACGCTTGACGTCACAGTGCCAAGATGTTTCCAAAACATTTTTTGCTGCACGCCGGACTTGGATGGAAGGGAAGGAATTGCATCAAATATCGTCATGGCATTTTCAGACCCAAAAATTTCACAAAGTCTGTCCAAACAGTTTATCCTAGTAACCTCGCCACGTGCGCAGTCGGTCAGCGAATGGAATTCATCGCCTAAAACATTCCAGAAAACAAGTTTCCAACAGCACTTGCAGAAGCGTTCCTGTCTGGGGATTCGTTCATATCTACCGGTTTCCACTTCCAGTGAGTGAGAAGAGAACATCCACCTATATAGAGATTTGCCACCGGTAGACCCTACAGAAACAGCCAGAGGACGAGGGGAATCAAAAGTCGGGATCATTGAAAGCAAAAAATCGTATTTGCCACCCTCCAGAGAAGAACGCAAATTTCTGCAAGCAATATCTTTACATCTGTTTGCTAAAGGTTGTTGCCAGTCTCGCGCCATTGCCGTGTTCCAAGTCAGGATCGCACTGGCACCGCCCATATCTTCCAGAATCCCGATCGTGTCAAAAAAGGAAACCATTTCATGAAACCAACCAGTTCTATGTTCCTCAAACATGTGTTTCCAATGTTGCAGGGCCGCTTGTTCGAATGTATCACCGTATTCCAATAAGCTAATGAAAAAACCAAAAGCAAGCTTGGCAGCCTCCACCCATATCGGCAAAATTCCGATGAGCCAGCGCATCGCGTCTGGTTTTGTACGGGCATGTGCGCGTAGAAGCACGCACAAAGCTTTATCTTCTGCTTTTGCAATCTGTGGCGTTCTTGTCCAGCCCCAAACGTCAGCTCCAAATAAAGCGATTGATCGAACTTTTGCAATGAAAATGTCACGCCTCATGGCCATTGTCATCAACGGATATTCAGAAAAATATTGTATACAAGTGCCTGCTGCTGCCGTGACCCTTCTCGCAAGCTGCTCCAAATGAGAATGATACCCAGTGGCATCAGCGTAGAAGCCTAAATACTTTACCAAAGCTACTGGTTGTTCACGAACTTGGCCTCTCCTGATTTCCCACCTTGGGCCAGTGTGTCCTTCCTTCCTAAACACCGCCAGCAAAGTTTTCCCATATGATACTCTCAGCCCATCTTCTTCAGACACTTTTTCAAGTTGGTCGAACTGCTCTTGAATTCCAGACAAGCAAGTATTTACGGTCAATAAATCGTCAGCATACATAAGCAAATGTACGGGGCAACCGCCTATGTCCACGACGCCAGTCTGCACTGTTCGCAGCCCATCTGCCAAGCCAACGTCAGTGTACAATGTTGCAAGTTCAGGTGACCAGGCTGAGCCTTGTGGAATACCAACTAGAACTCGAATAGGTTTCCCTAAAGAGCCAGCAAAACAGACTTTGACAGAGTGAGTACGAACAAGTTCTTTCCACAGCGCAATGACTGAATTAGGAACACCTACTTGAAGCATTTTTTTGAAAAGGCGCTCAGGGCGTAATGTGTCGAAGAACTGCTCAAAATCAACAAGGAGAACGCCGCATTCTTGGACCAGCGGGTTTCGCAAAGGTCCCAATGCCCTGGACAAAACTGCAAGAAGAATAAAAATGCGGGAAGAAGCACGTTTGTGTTTTCGAAAGCCTGCTTGGTAGTCACCTGCACTCCAATACGGTCTCATCATCAAAGATCCCATCTTTTCCAACTTCTTTCGAAGGACACTCATCAAACTAAGTTTCCTGTACTCGTTGTGCGACTCCCCCTTTTTACCAGGTTTCAAAACAGGTTTTATCAAAGAGCCTCTTTGGTACTTTGGAATCCGCGCAAACATGGCCATAAGATGGAAAGCGTTCTGCAAATCATTGAAAGGAGCCTCTCCCATTTTGACAAAAAGCATTAAAAACTCCTCGCACCAGCCATCTTCACCAACTGCTTTACCACGTTTCAATTTCCAGAGTTCTCTTGATTGCAAGATCCCATCTGGTACCGGCTCAGGAGGGCAGGAAAAATGAGAAAATTCTTCTGCCCAAGCTGCACTTGTTTGCTCATCATGGGGGAAACCGCGTTGCGCAACTTCTTTTACACCCTGTTCCAACATGTGCAAAGTGCCGTTGCCCAGGTTCTGCGATGGTTGCTGCTTTATTTTCCTCCACATAAGTTCAGTGTTGCCGTTCTCCCGGAGGCGGGCAACCATGTCCCAAGTGCCCCGTTGGTAAGCCTGTCGCTGTCTGCGGCGCAATCTGCACAAAACTGTTTTTGCCCTCAGCATGTTTTGACGAACTGTAGGTTCAGTTGGGTGACCTTTGCAAAGTCTACGCCATAATCTCTTGTGTCTGGCAAAGTTGTATTCTGCAAGTAAAACATTCGGTGGTTTGTTCAAAAGTTCAGTTCGTTGTTTTCCGGATAAAACATCCGAAGAATGCCACTGTACGACAGAAAGGCTTTCCAAAGCGCTCAAGAAATCGCGTATGCAATTTTCAGCAACCTTCGGATCTGTCGACGGACCAGCCTCAAGGATATGTTTCATGCGTTGTGAAGTTTCTTGTATTGCCAGGTTCGAATTGTACTCCACAACGAGTTGTTGCAATAACTGTTCATTATCCAGGGTCGTCGTGATTGGTCTCCTTCGCATCTTCCAAACAGGTTTGCGCAAGTTGTGCTCAAGGACAAAACCAAGTACACCATCAACAAAGTTCTGCTCTAGTGGAAAAGACACCTTCAAAGTTAGCATGGCATGGTCACTCTGCTCAAAAGGTTCGCTCACATTACCTTCAACTGCTGCTTGTAGAATTTCATCTGAACCAAGCCAGGTGTCACAGTTAGAAGAGCCACGGTTTGAAAAATATGTGCGTTGGTTAGGAATACATCGGCCGTTCAAAATCCATAAGTCAGCACCCCTAGCCCACATCAGAATTTCTTCACCGTTGCTCTTGACCACGGGGTCTTCGTTTTGAGTGCGAGGTTTTGTTTGCAAACCATCCTGATTCAAAAGGCGCTGATCCAAAGCCATCTCGCCATCACTGTCAAACATTGCCTGTAAGAATTTCCCATTACATGAATTGCCAACTCTGGCATTTGTGTCTCCAACCAACAAAATCACCCCAAGTTGTTTCAACCGAGCAAGAAGAAGAGGAAGTTCATGAGAAATATCTGCGCGTTCTTGTTGTGCAACTCTTGAAGAACTTGTTGGTCCGGCCGGCGGGAAGTAAACACCGACAAGAAACATTTTGAAACTACCTTGGCGTGTAAAATCAACTTCCAAAACTAAAACACCAGGTATATTTGTGCTATATTCTCTCACCAGTCCTGCGTGCTTCTTTTTTGAAAACCAGGCCACGCCCCCAGCTTTGCCACCTAATCGGTCTTTCCGGAAAAAAAAGAAATCATCCATCAAGTCAAGTCTCCACTCTCTTTTTGTATGTGTCTCCGCGATGAAGATGAAATCATACCGTCTAAGACGGTGACGCACTTCTTGGTCATTGAGTTTTCTTTCTATAGATCCACCCACATTCCACCCAGCAATGCAAAAATCATGCCAGCCCTGCTCCCTTTTCATTTCCTATCCGCTCATGGCCGCCAAATCGGCCGCGCTCTTGAGACCCGACTTTGGCTTTTTCCAAACAACACACCATGAGGTTTCATCTCTTTCTGCTACCACTTCTCCGCGAATCTTGATCTGTCCTTCTTTCTTGAACACTTTCACATCTCTTTTGTCTCCCTCCCATTGGCTCTTGACTTCGGCAAAAGCTTGGCGGAGGGCTTTATTCTTCTTCAAGTCTAGTTCTGTCTCAGCAATGTTGAGGAAAACGTTTCTGTCTTCCACTTTAATGCGTAGCTCTTTCGACTTGCTCACTGCTGCCTGGCCATCCTTTACTGACTTAAAGGTGAGCATGGCTTTGCCCATGTTTTCCCCTGACTTGGTCTTGAACATGTCGATGCCTGAGCAATTCTGCAGGATTTGTTGTAGCTCAGGGGAGTCCCACAAATCCTTTTCTGCCCATGCCTTAGGAAAGCCATCCAACTTTGCCTTCAGCTTCACATCATCAATCATGCGCTGGTGAATATAATCCATAAATGCATCATTTCGGGCAGTGACATGCTGGAGCTGCCGCTGCACTTCCTCCTTTACTTCTTTCTTAAGGTTCTCAGCCTGTTCCTTCTTGAAGGTGTCAAAATCGGCTTTGGACACTAAACCAGCACACATGCTTTCTAAATCTTGTTTGGTCGCCATGTCTTTTCGAAGTGATCTGATTTCCTCTAAAATTTGGTTCTCTTCTGGCTTGTGGTGTTTCGCATCTGGACTATTCGGGCCATTCTCTCTTGGTCTGGCCTTACTCATGGGGACGGCGGGATAGCGAGAGCTTGAAATCTTGAGCTTGAAATCTTGAGCCAAAATGGCTACGGTCTCAGGATCCCCACACACAGCATTTGGGAGGCACAGTCTCCCATTTGTACGTTATTTGCAGCATTTGAGAGCCGCAACCTGGTCACTGGACCCTGTCTAGCTGCACGAGTATATTTCTAACATATCAATCCAAATCTAGCTGAAAACCTGCCTGTGTACTGCCTATAGCGTACCTGACACATGGTTCACCACTCATTGACATTACATACCCATGTGTGCTACCTATGTACTCCTTACACCCTGCATCTCCTACCTACACATGTTTCTAAGCATACCTATATACGACTCATTGCGTAGCGTGTCCGTATATTATATATATATACTATATCCATGCATACTCCCTGTAAACTCGTAAACTCCCTAAGTACTCTCCATTTACTCCCTACAAACTGGACATCAAGCACTTACAGCTGACAAACACTGCCCATGCAGGACCAGGCCACAAGGAGGGGACCATCTTGCTGGGTGTGCTGATCCCGGCCGGCATATCCGTGCCGATATAATCTCATATTTATATATACATATGCAGTATATATATATATATACACATGACATGACATGACATGACATGACATGACACGACACGACACGACACGACATGCATCTATCAAGCTTATAGATAACCAGTAGTACCCCATAAGGCGGTGGCGGAAGCTTCAAAAATAGGAAGCCTATAGGAAAGGTTGGTTGTTGTGACTCACGGATGGCAGAGCGAATCCACTGATGGACAGAAAGGTGGCTGGAGTTGTGGTTCTGGAGTGGTTGCAATGGTTGCAGTGGTCACCTCACCACAACTGCTGGATGTAGTGTGGTGTAGCGCAGTGTAGTTGTAGTTGTAGTGTAGTGGAGTTGTAGTTGTAAGTTGTAGTTGTAATGTAGTGTCATTAGCGTAGCGTAGTTGCAGTTGCAATTGTAGTTGTGGTGTGGTGTAATTAGCGTAATGTATTGTAGTGTACTGTAGTGTTGCGTACTGTAGCGTGGTGTAGTGTAGTGTAATCTAGCGTATTGTAAAGTAGTCTAGTTGTAGTTGTAGTGCAGTGTAGCGTAGTGCAATGTAGTGGTAGTTTAGCTGTGGTGTAATGTAATGGAATTAGTGTAGCGTAGTGCTGTGTAATGTAGTGTAGTTGTACTTGCACTTGTATATGTAGCGGTAATGTACAGAAGTTTAAGTAGCGTATTGTAGCGTAATGTGGTGTAGCTGTAATTGTAATTGTAATTGTATTGTAGGCAGTGGTGGGTTGGGTGGGTGGGTGGGTGGGGTGTTGGGTGGTTGGGTGGGTGGGGGTGGGTGGGTGGTGTGGGTGGGTTGGGGTGGGGTGGGGTGGGGGTGGGGTGGGTGGGTGTGGAGTGGGTCGGGTGGGTGGGTGGGTGGCGTGGGTGAGTTGGTTGGTGTTTGGTCAGTGGGGGTGGGTGGGTGGGTCGTGGGGTGGGTGGGGTCGGTGGGTGGTCAAGGTTCGGAGCTGTGGGTGGGGTGGGGTGTTGTTGTTGTTTTGTGTTTTGTTTCTTGGTGGTGTCTGTGGGTGGCGGTCGTCGGCGCTCGGCCGTCTTCGTCGGCGGCGTCCCGGGTCGTCTGCGGCTTCGTCCCTGTCTGCGTCGTGGTTGCGGGTCGGTCTGCATTAGGCGTCTTCGGCGTTCGTCGTCGGCGTCGGTGTATGCATTCCTCGGCGTAGGAGGAGTAGGAGGAGTAGGAGGAGTAGGAGGAGTAGGAGGAGTAGGAGGAGTAGGAGGAGTAGGAGGAGTAGGAGGAGTAGGAGGAGTAGGCGAGTCCTGAGGAGTCGAGGAGTAGGAGGAGGCGGAGGGGGAGTAGGGGGAGTAGGGGGAATAGGAGGAGTAGAAGGAGTAGGAGGAGTAGGAGGAGTAGGAGGAGTAGGAGGAGGAGGAGTAGGAGGAGTAGGAGGAGTAGGAGTAGGAGGAGTAGGAGGAGTAGGAGGAATAGGAGTAGGAGTAGGAGGAGCAGGAGCAGGAGGAGTAGGAGGAGTAGGAGGAGTAGGAGGAGTAGGAGGAGTAGGAGGAGCAGGAGGAGTAGGAGGAGTAGGAGGAGTAGGAGGAGTAGGAGGAGTAGGAGGAGTAGGAGGAGTAGGGGGAGTAGGGGGAGTAGGAGGAGTAGGAGGAGTAGGAGGAGTAGGGGGAGTAGGGGGAGTAGGAGGAGTAG